TTTACAATTATCTCATAAAAGAAGCATCGTTTTTGCAAGTATACAATTGACAACATTTAAGAGCATTCTCTCAGCTTTATTCATCAAAATTCTTTATCCTTTTCTAATTCTAATTCTTGAAGATACTTCCTTTAGACCTATTAATCATCCTACCATTCCCATTGTAACAGCAATTTATTTTATTTAATCACCAAGAATTGAGTACTCCAATAACTTACTAGTTAGTACAAAAAGTATTTAGTCTGCAAAGCAGTCCAATATCATTAATCAATAAACAACGAATCTTCGTGCAAAATAAGATGATTCGATGTTAACCATAGGAAACAGAAATTCGATAAAAAATATTGTTCTCCATTCCATCACGCCAATACATCAAAAATACCACCGCGCCGTACTTAAATTCTTTCACAGTCTTCACAGATCAGCATTTCGCCTTCTCGTTTCTCCTACAAATGTACAAAATCCATAATCAATTAATTAAACAACTCACACATCGTATGAATTTTCGGGGTGGATTTTCGTCGCTTAAAATTCGTCGAGAACCTGACGTCGACGGGAATCGCGAGCGTCGGCACGCACTGTCCACGATTCCTGAGCAAGTAGCCGATCATGAACCGAGATAATATCGAGTGGGCGATCATCGTCGCCGTCAGAGGCGACTGGGTGTCCCGGGCGATCGTCGATAGCGCCGCTCTCAGACGACAATGACGTCCGTTGGGCGCTTATCCGGTTCTTTGGACGGCTCGGAATTTTCCCTGTGTCTTTGGGAGACGGGGCCGGGTTTCTCACGCTGCTTGGGCACGGATGCGAAAATCTGCGTGGCGGAAAGAGAGGCCCCGAGACGGCGAGGCGGAGCGTCTTCGCGCGTTTAATCTGCCGCCGGTAGACGCGATCCGTCTTTGTCCTCGTCGTCGACGTCGCAGACGTCTGTCCCGTCCTTCTTCTTCCTTAAGGGTCTAGTCTTCGAGTGCATTCGAGTACACCGTCGTCTCCTCGGAACCGTTACCTCCATCCGCGACGCCAGCCGAGGCGAGGCGAGGCGGGACGAGGCGGGACGTCGCAAGGCGTCGCGACGCAACCAGCTCGTCGCAGCCGAAGCCCGTCCTCGACGTTCCCGTTGTTCTCTTCGCCGTTGTTACGAGCAGAAGCCAGTTGACACAGTCGGTGACTCGGCCACCTGGGAAATACCGGGTAATGCCCGCAAAGCTGGTCTCTCCCCTTCCCGCAGCGCCCCGTCTCCCAGCTCGGTCCTCTTTACCTTCGCCCGGGTCGCCTTCTTTTTTCCGCGACGCTGTCTGTCTTTCGTCGGTCCCGTCTTTAAACCGGTCGGAGAGAGACGGAACCATCTTCTAGCAAGCTCGTCGACGAAGACAGGCAAATGCGAACGAGCAGCCGCGAAAATTGCCACGGCCACCGTCGTCTCGGGTTCTGTAATCAGGATTAGGAACGCGCGACTCGACCACCGGGACGCCGATGATGGAATTTATCGAGCCGCGGGCGGAGCGGCTCGATAAAAACTCCAACAGATCGGCTATTGTCCCGGGGAATCGATCGCGAGACTTTTCGATCTTCGAGACTTCGCGATCAGACCGCGGATTTTTATGCGAAATAAAAGTATCGTCCGAGTTGGCTGCGAGAAATGTAAAGCAAATAGCAAGTTCTTTCTTCCTTTCTTCGATAACTCGGACAAGTTGGAAGTAATAAGTTGACATTTTTAAGTTATTTTAATGTGTCTTGTATACGAATTTGTCAGAAATGCATAAAATCCGTAGTCTGTTAATGACGCATGAAGCGAGGGAGAGGCCTTATGAGGTGGTGATGACGATGCAGCAGGGTGCAGGTGGGGAGACAATTACCCGTGGAGATTGCTTATGGCTTTTGGAGATAGCTCATGGTCCTCTAAACTAGCTCATAGTCTCCGGAACTAGCTCATGGACCTTGAAACTAGCCCATGATCTTTGGGGTAAGTCCGTCATTCTTCACTCCTGAAAGTAAGTTTGTGATATTTAGAGCTAGCTCATGGTTCTCTGAACTAGTCCATACACCTCAGAACTAACTCAAGGACCTCTAAACTAGACCATGATTCTTAGGGTTAGCTGATGGTGCTCTAAACTAGACCATGGTCCTTAAAGTTACCTCATGGTCCTCGAAGTTGGCCTATGATCTTTGGACTAAGTTAATGGTCCTCAAAGTGTAAGTTCAGAGTCCTTAAATCTAGCTTATTGCCCTCAAGACTAACCTATGATCTTCTGAATTAACTCATGGTCCTTGGTAATAGCCTATGGTCCTTGAAGCTAGTCCATGGTTCTTGGAATAAGTCAATGATCTTCAAAGTAAGTTTAAAGCTAGCTCATGGTACTCTGAACTAGCCCATAGATTTTGGAACTAGTTCAAAGACCTCGAAACTAGACCATGGTCCTTAGGACTAGCTCGTGGTTCTTTAAACTATATCACAGTCCTTAGAGCTAGCTCATAGTCCTCGAAATTAGTCTATAATATTTGAAGTAAGTCAATGATCCTGAAAGTTTAAGTCCATGGTCCTTAGAACTAGCTTATGGTCTATGATCCTTTGAATTAGCTAATGGTCTTCAAAACTAGTCTATGATCCTTTGAACTAGCCAATGGTCTTCAAAACTAGCCTATGATCCTTCGGACTAAGTCATAGTTCTTAGTGATAGCCCATGGTCCTCGATGCTAGTCCATGATCCTCCATGTAAACCCATGGAACTTAGAGCCAGCTAGGAACTAGCCCATGCTCTTTGAAGTAAGCCCATGGTCCTTAGAACCAGCTGATGGTCCTAGAAACTAGTCCATGATCTTTGTAATAAGCTCATGATCCTCGAAGTAATTTCATGGTCTTCAGAGCTAGCCCATGGTTCTCGAAACTAGCCCATGGTCTACGAAGTGAACACATGATCTTCAAAACTGACCCATGATCCTTGCAGATAGCCTATGATCCCTGGAATAAATCCATGGTCTTAAAAACTAGACAATGATCCCCGGAGCTAGACAATGATCCTTGAAATAAGCCCTATCTTGTGTTTTTGCTAAATGCAGCTTGGATCAACCTGTTAGCAAGAAAATGTATCAAGAAAATTAGAGCTCGGTATTTAAGATCCTCTGTATAAATCTTTATTTCGTACCTATGAATTGACGTCATAGTATCTGCTTACATTAAGAACGATATTATAACAATTTCAGAGGAACGCGTAAGAGTGCCTAGTTGCTAACGCAAAGGACTATCCTTCTGTAACAGCTACGGGATAACTTTTTATCAGAATAAAGAACCGCGGGACTTTCGATCCTGAAGATTCGGCGGCGATAGAAAATCATGCGTGTTCCTCCGTATAAATTATGCTAAAGAAGCGCGTAGCTACGTTGCTCCAGAGGTCTGCGCTCCCTGGCGCAACCTAGATCCGCAACTGCATCTCAATTGCCCTGAGAATAACGTCCCGCGGACGAACATCATTTAAATCATCGGTTAATAATTAATTAAACGAAGAACGCGTGATCCTACAAAATTCAGCATCGGCAGAGAAATTCGTCTATCTATTTCTTTCTAATTACTTTGAACAGGTATAGCCTAACCGCTCCTAATTACACTGGCCGGTGCCCCGCGATGCAATCAATGTCCATTACTGCGACACACGATCCACGCGCGATAATAAAGTCGACAAAACAAGTCAATAATCGGATAAGAAAGTTCGCGAGACGTCGTGAGAGACCGTTCCTTAAGAGTTCCGCGAATTTCAAACGGTGATTGCGCCAGCGTCGGCTTCGAATCGAACCGTCGTCAATTCTCCTTCTTCTCCGCGGCCGCAGATTGATCTTCGCTGCTCGTCTTCTTCCGACCGAACAGAAGGCATTTGGTTGCTCGGTAGGCGACGTAGAGGGTCAGCAACCCTATAACTGCGAAAGCGGCCAGGACATCAACGAGATTGCGAACGCACCAGGGCATCTTCGCCGCTTCGCTCTTCACGTACGGCAAGCCGTTGCCTCTGCCGATGTACTCCGTCCACCATACCGCCGTTTCGAGCGCGCTCGAAGGTCGGTCTCGGAATGCTTTTGACAGTCTGCGGGCGTTCACCATGTAGCTGCGACAGAAAGTGATTTCGGGGTTAGAGAAATTTCACGGCGCGCGTGAAAGGCATCCCGCCATCGAATCAGCTAATGCAGGGACATTTTTAGGTATCTGTTACAGAAAATCGGTTGAAAATGATTTCTACGATCGTTGCTGCTGACGTTTATGCCGAACTATGTTCTGCGATGTGTTTAGAAACATGATTCAGTATTATGAATGTCAATGTTATTGTTGCATATAAATTTACAGAACAATGTGATACATAATAAAACAAGATAATAAAATAATACAATATGATAAATGAAATAAATATAGAAAATATAATATAATCAATAATATAATAAATAAAATAAATATAATGAGTATAATGTAGTAAATATTGTAATGGAACAATGTAATAATAAAATAATAATATAAGAATCTCTCTTCTCTAATTATGATGAATTTTATGAGATATATATTTCATGCATGACAGCATTTTTTACCATCAAGTCAATATATTTTGTCTATAATGAGCACCTATAATAAATAAGCATCTATAATAAAATTAATCAAATTGATTTATAATAAGCGTCATTAACAACAAAATTACCTAATCATTCGAAATTGTCCGTGACCTAATTTCCAATTAATCGAGTTATACTGTATATATTAAGAAATTAATAAAAAAAATATACATGTATAACTGATGAAATGTAAACAAATACAGTAAATTCTCCCTAATTGACACTGAACTTATACACAAAACTGAACAATTTGGAAAGAGGAGATAGAAAGAGGAGCCTCGCGGTTCGCTTTTATAATTACTCATTGTCAACAACTATAAAAATATAGAAATATAAAAATATGATCGTACTCCCTCTCCCCAAAATGTCCATCTGAGCGTCAATTAAACAGAATTCACTGTATTGCAATATAAAAACAAGCACAACGTAAACACATAAATAATGCGAAGAAGACAAATAAAAGCAAATAAAACGATGGCAAATAAAAGCAAATAACGTAAAACAAAGTACAGTAATTTTCAACGATGCCTCGATTATTCAATCGAGAAAGAATATCGGTACAGCACGAACGAAAACTTCGCCCCGGTAACGATCGAGATCGTCCAAACATCGTTGCAACATGAATTCCGTAACAGGAACGCACGTTCACAACGTGGCACACTGCGGAAACCTTTTTAGCCCGGCCCCATTTCGGTCTCCAGTAACAAATTCCTAAAAGGAGACGATCGTTTCATGGGATTCGATGGGAAGGCGCTCTTAACGCGCCGCTGCGGCGCAGCGCGACGATGATCGCGGGCGGCGCATCGGTCTCTCTCGAGCTTTTTTGTTCCGCGGCGCAGTTAACAACGTTGCCCGGGCGATGCAGGAACCGTTAAATAATTCATGGAACACGGGGATCGATCGGCCACTCGATATACCGGAGACGAGAGGAAAAAGATGCGACGGGGATACTTTATAAATATCTCCGGGAGCTTTTAACGGGACGCTTATCGGTCACCCGGAAACAACCTTTTCCATATCGATGAGAAATCCGGAAGAACGTCTTCGAGGAGCCGACGGACAGGAGACAATAGATATACAACAGACAATAGATAGATCACAATGGCCGGAGAGTAATCTCCGCGAACACCCGTTCGCAACCGGTCGCTCGAGAATCGCTATTGTTCACCAGGTGTTCGAGGACGTCATGTGTAAAGAACCGTAAGGATAGCCGACAGATAATGCCTTGAAAAATAGATAAACGCGCGGAGCATTGTTCGTCGTTGTTCGCTTATGGGGAAATATCGTTCACATTTTTTGCTATTTAAGCGATCGCCGGATTGGGGATGTTCGCGAGTTCGTCGCAGATTTTTCTAACGCAAGTATAAATTGTCGTAGTCTAATAGCGCTTTTATTTTAGTTTTACTGTGAGTAAAAATAAAACGTGGAAAGCCATTTTAATTTACACTTCGATCATGCACATTATTTTCAAATACTGTCCAAGCCTGCACATAATGACAGTTGGGCTCGTTTTTATAGTTACCGATTGTCAACAGCTATAAAAATATATAAATATAATAATAATAATAATAATAAAATGTAATGATAATAGTAATAATAATAATAATAATAAAATATAATGATAATAGTAATAATAATAATAACAATAAAATATAATGATAATAGTAATAATAATAATAATAAATATATAAATATAAATATAAATCAATAAATATAAAAATATAATCGTACTTCCTCTTCCGAAATTGTCAATTTTCGTGCGTAATCTAAGCGCGAATTAGGGAGAAATTACATTTCCGCGAAACTGCTTGAAATCTGCTCGGAGAAAAATTCGAAAATCATCGAGTCGCCAAAAGAAGTCGATTTCCGAAAGTTTCGGCGGCGTCGCGATCCTTTAATTTTGGTCTCCGTCCAACCAGAACGGTTCGGACACAGGGTGCACCGGTGACAGAGGTGCACAACAGAGTTCACGGGTGCGCAGGGAAACGCGAAGAGCGCGTTGGGCGAGCAGTGGGCGCGCGGGGGCGGGTGCTGCGCTCGCAACCATCCCCGACGACCCGGAACACACAATTTACCAATCGGTATTCTCCATTATTCGTGTTTACAGCTGTAGGCCGCGAATCAACCTGGCCCCCCTGTTATTTGCCTCGGTCAAATTCAGTCGCAGGCCTGCGGTGGTTTTGAATTAACCATCAATTTTAAGCGCGTTCGTCGTCCCTACCGTCGACGTCGACGTCGCCCGTCCCCGCGAACGGACCAAACGCCGGGACGCGACGGCTCGCAGGGTGTCGGATGGACGCTACATTCGGCAAATTAATTTATTGTTCGGAGCACCGGCTGGCCGACAACGGATTACGCCGGAGAAAGATGTGAAGGCGATTCGGCTCGGAACGTTGCTGGCCGATGCTGTTCGATTTTGCGGCTGTCGCGAGATTCCTGCGAAGGTTCTTCATGGGAGGATTATGCGATTATGAGGATGTTTATGGAAAATTTAAATTATTCGATTGTTGGAAGTGTAGGCGATGAAATGACTTTTTGTTTTGGGTAATTGTAACAGATAGAAAATAATGTAACAATGTTCTTAAATTCTTGCGAAGTCTTGCTTGTTTTAATAATTGTAATAAATTCTTCTATTGTTTTTCCACTTTTAATAATTTTAATAAGTTGACAATGATGTAGCAATATCCTTAAATTCTTTCAACGTCTGTCTTCTTTTTAATAATTTCAGTAAATCCTTGTAATGTCTTCCTTTTTTTTATAATTTTAATAAGTCGAAAATAATGCAACGGTGTTCTCAAATTCTTCTGAGATCTTGCCTTTTTTTATTAATTATAATAAATTCTTTCAATGTCGAGGTTATTGACATAACCTCTTTTAATAATTGTAATGAATTCTTCTAAAATCTTGTTTCTTTTAATAAATGTAATAAATTCTTCAATTGTCTTTCCACTTTTCTCTGTCCTCTTTTAACAGTTGCAATAAATTCTTGCAATGTTTTTCCTTCTTTCATAATTCTAATAAGGCAAAAATAATGCAACAATGTTCTCAAATTCTTCTGAAATCTTGTCTCTTTCAATAATTGCAATAAATTCTCCTGTCTTTCCCCTTTCGATAAATCTAATAGGTTTAAAAAAAAATAGGTAATAATAGGTTTAAAATACTGTAACAAAAATTAATCCTTGAATTCCATTAATTAATATCTTTATATTTCCCTATAATCATAAGTTGAGTAACGTTAATGGCGTTCGGTGAATTTTTTATCGTCTGTTCTTCCTTAGTGGTAAATCGAAGAGTTCCTTCGTAACAAATTGACTCATAAAAGCTTAATTATATGAAGATAATAGTTGGCAAGAGGGAAGACGGTCATATATTTTAATGCTAATAGCCAAGGGACCGGGGATGAAACTTTTCTAAGGCCAGAGCATGCTCATAGGGTGGAAGTTACGGCTCTGTAACGAGTAACGAATAATACATTTACATCCTTAAGGGTATCACCTTCTCGGAACCACTCGAGCATGTCTCAAATAACTCACTATATCCACCGTGAATGCTCTCGAGAGGATCCCTATAGGGGAATACATTTTTCAAAAGCCGCGGAAGATTTAATGGGTAAAATGTGCAGAGCCGCGGCATACTGTAACAATCTTCAGCTGGAGAAATTAAGTATGCGGAAGATTTATCGGTGTGTGCAGTTTTCACGCTGTACCCAGCGAATTGTACGTTTAGCGATTAATAGAGCGTGCATCTTTTTGTGCAAAATAAAAATGTTCTGCAGAAATTTTACGGTACAATAATTAAACGAAGATGTGCTTCTTCTTTTGATAGATTTCGTTGAACTCAAAATCGTGAGACAGAATTAACAAATTCTTTTTGTGAAAGAATTTGCTCTGTACCTTCATTTACACATTTTTACCTTGAATTGGATACGTTTGATACAAATTATATTATATTATAAATTATATACTATGCTGTTGTTCATTGGAGGCCAGCATTTCAGTTTAATTTTATAACTTGTGTTAAGCAATTTTCTGGTAGGAAAAATCGATGCTAATTTATCGGAAAATTGGTAAATTTCACATGGCTAAACGAGGCATAATAGTTTCTGTAAGACTAAACAAATATATATTTTATTTAATTTTAATTTAATTTTTAATTTCATTTAATTTTATTCAATTCTCTTATAATTTCAATGAAGAAATTTGGAAACTCTATTGTCACTTAAGGTAAAATTGTAGAGGTTAGAATATAACTGGATGCACTTCCAATCATTTTATATACTTAATTTAGAGTTTTAATAATATTTTAAAATATTTTGATAATATCATTCTACACTCCTATTTTAGTAAAATTATGTCTTATTTCTCAATGCTTCTGTCTACATCTTCAGCCTGTTTTCCATTGTCTTCCTATTTATCGATTATGATGATATAAACTTCTTCAAACTTCTTCTCAAACTCCTTTGAACTTCTTCAAACTACTTCCAACTTCTTAAAGTTCCTTCGAACTT